AATTTATAGATCAATAGTAGTGTTGGAGTGATGTTGTAGCCATGATGGTCTAGGAAATATGGGAAGAGGATTTTTGTCAGTGGTACATTTTTATTGGACTAACTGCATGGTTGAGATAGACTTAACCAAGCTTTTTAATGTATTGTTGCCTTCTTCTGGTGACCTGAAGTAATCAGAGTGTCTGTCTTCAGGTAACCTACCAAAGACTGCACTGCATTTGAAAGTTTAAGTCTGTTCCCAAATCTTTGCCTCTTGCATAGATCTACAGTAGTTATCCTGGTCCTTTACTATTTGTATAGTTACTTATAGTGTTTCTAATACATGGAATGCATATTAAAGAGCAGCTGAAGAATAGTGGTAACAGTCTTATTTTTTGCTTTGAAGGATTCCTTCCATACTTTTACACAAGAAGCATGCAAGCTAATTTACAAAGATCTGCCATTTGAAATGCTGGAAGTTGAAGCAAAAGTGGCATTAGAAATGTTTCGGCATAACAGGTCAGTAAAGATCTAATTGATTTCTAAAGGAAATGCAGTCTTTAAGCTAGTAATGATTAAAATATGGTGGGCTTGATCATTTGTTTGGGTAAATTAGTATAGCTTTGACCTCGTTGTAGTACAGCAGTTTATACTAGCTTATATGTCCCTACATTTTTCTGTCAATTTGAACACTAGGTGGTACTATAATGTACTTTTGAGAGAAGTTTAAGAAATGGGACAGGCTTGAGATTTTATATTTAGTATTGGGGCTTTAAACATTTCATTAGTTATAGGTTTCCTTCAGCTTACTAGTGATTACATGCCTCACAACACATGCATATAATTTCTGACAAGATATAGTGAAAGCTTAAAATTTGGTCAGTATATTCAGTAATCTATTTTATTGAATATCATTAAACTTCACCTTGGTTAAAGAGGTCACTAACCACATATCCTGTTCCATCCCAGGATTTATCTTGGAGGCAGTGTGGTTTAGCAGAGCGTGATTCTATTTCTTGCTTGACCACTCACCTATTTTATGATCTTGGGCACATCGTATCACTTCTCTGTGCCTCTGTTTATTAAAGGTCTCCATAAATCTAGCAGAGAAAGGTATAGAAGAGAGAGTCCAGTGGAGGGCAGTGAAAATGGTTAGGGGGCTGGGGCACGTGACTTCTGAGAAGAGGCTGAGGGAACTGGGCTTTAGTCTAGAGAAGAGCAGACTAAGAGGGGATTTAATAGCAAGCAGCCTTCAGTTACCTGAAGGGTGATTTTAAGAGGATGGAGCTAGGCTGTTCTCAATGGTGGCAGATGACAGAACAAGGAGCAATGGTCTCAAGTTGCAGCAAGAGAAGTTTAGGTTAGATATTAGGAAAAACTTTATCCCTAGGAGAGTAGTAAAGCACTGGAACAAGTTATCCAGAGAGGTGGTGGAATCCCCATCCTGGGAGGTTTTTAAGACCTGGCTAAATAAAGCCTTGGCTGGCATGATCTAGTTGGGGATGGTCTTGCTGTGAGCAGGGAGTTGGACTAGATGACTTCCTAAGGTCCCTTCCAACCCTAATTTTCTATGATTCTATAATAGCTACTCTGGAGGTTGAAGTTACATTAAATATTAAAATGAGAAAATAAGCAACGCTTTTAACAGTGAGACTGATTAAGCATTGGAACAAATTACCAAGGGAATCCATTTCGTAAAGTTCTCAAATCAAGACTGGATGACTTCTGAGAAGGGAGGCTTTAGTCAAAGACGGGTTATTGAGCTCTGGGGAAACTGGTTGCAGTTGTACACAAGAAGTCAGTATAGGTTATGTCATGGTACCTTCTGGCCTTAATATTGGAAAGGTTTATTTTTATTGATGGATTATATTCTTTTTTTTTTATGGCTGAAATTGTTTTAAGATAGTTGATCCTCTGTGAGTCTTGTCAAAATCATACTCAAAGATGAATGCTAACAACATAAAACTGTGCTATTAATAAACTTATAACTGTCAAGCATTTTAGAAGATTGTGTTCCTTCAATGGATCCCTCAAAAGTTTTCCCATTTCTATTTGTGTAATCTTAAAGTTGTGTTGTTAAGAATGATGAGCAGGGATCCTTGTTTTCTCTGATTAAAAATCACAAATTCTCTGATTAAACCCCCAAAATCTGCAGTTTGGAAGCCTACCGGTACCTCAATCACTGTAATAAAATAAATTCTAAATCCCTGTAAATTTTGGTATTTGATTTTGGGTTTTTTATCATGGAAAATCAGAACTCCTGTGGCTCTGTTGTACTCCCTGCTGGAGGCCTTACGGCCGCACATTCTAGTCCCAGGCCCCAAGCCCCATGCAGCACCTGGGCTTGGCAGCAGCCCTAGCCATAACCTACCCCTGCCCAGCTCCCTCCATATTTTTGTCAGTTAAAAGGGAAAACTGCATTTTTCCTGTTTTTCTGTAGGAAATGGAAAACCCAGATCCTTAATGATACTGTAATAAAAAGGCTTCTGTTGACACTAAGTTTTTGCATCTTGTGCTTTAGAAATTACTGAAAGCATATGAAGCCACTTGACTGTTTTCCCTCCTTTGCATTTGTAAACTTTTTATCTAGTAAATACTTAAGTATGCTTTTTTTCCTGTTTCTTTAAGGTACAAAGTGGAGATAATAGAACAGAAAGCTTCACAAAGCCCTGAAGGAACAGTAAAGTTACATAGGTGAGCAAAGTTCTCTATAGTGACTCAGAGGAAGATCTAATTACTTTCCAATATTGTGAGCAGTTGGAAAAAAAGATAAGTGAATTGAGACGTATTTTAATTAAACTTTCCTTTACTCAGTCTGCTGGTGCTGTCTCAGTTAGCTATTTAGATTCTTTCACAACACCATTATTGTGGTATTTAAGTTTATGGAACTCATTAGATTTCTAATGATCAGAAAGTTTTTAAGTTGGTAAGACTTCACTGATCATTTACTGAAAGTAAGTACTGAAAAATTCCATACCTTTCAAAGCTTTATAGTGAAGATCTAAACATATTTGTCCTTATTTATTAAACTGGGGTAGAAGAAAAATACTTCAAAAATAAAATCCACTTACTGCTAAAATTGCCAGCTTATCTCAATTTGGCAAATTTTACCCCTTTTAGTATTCCATTATCTGCAGTTATTTTAGACTGCGGTCAGAATGGAGCAGACTTGGGGATAAAGAAGCAGAAGAGTGGTAGGAACTTGAGTATGTGAAGGATATTTCTTGGGTGTTACTGTAGACCATGAATAACAAAGGCCTTAGGTGGATGCAGCATATTTAGACCACTTGTCTAAATGTTTCCATATGCAGCTTTGGTCTGGAAGGTTCCCAAGGAAAAACTGGCTTTGCAGAAATGTCTTTTTTTTAATATAGTATTTATTCCAGGACAAAATATTTTCCCAAGGAAGCCTGCAGAGCTTAAGGGGGAAATGTTTGAGCACAGTGGGGAAGGGAGCCTTGAGTGACCTTCCTAGAGATTATTTGCTTCAAGTATTCTTCATTTCATATTCTTTCTTCTTTCGCTTTTCTGTTTCTTTGTTGTATAGGAACTGTCTAATCTGTGAAAGAAGAAATGCTTTCTTAAAGTATAGGTGTGGAGGCATATTCTTTCTTAGTGTGTGTGACAAGACCAGGCTCCAGGAGTGGCTGTGATGCCCCCTGGTGACTGCACAGCTCCTGCCCCACTCTGGCTCTTCAGGGTGCCCTTCCCTCTTGCTCTCACCTGCCATGCCTTGATGAAATTATTTTCTGTTGTAGAAGGAAGATTGGCTCAGGGTCCCTGAGTGAGCCCTAACCTGTTTTGACCAGTGGGGGCATCCTGTACCTAGCTGCCCTCCAGTCCTGTTCTTCAAGCCCTAAGTGGGGTCCCCCTTGGCTCCATCAGTTCTTTAGGGCGCCAGTCACCTTGAGGGCTATTTGTGGTTTCCTTCTGCCCTAAAGCCATGCCTGTGCCTTGTAGATGTCACTTGATCACCGTTTGCCTGCCTGTATAAGCTTCGGCCTTCTTAGCTTTAGCCTTCAGGTTACTTAGGTTGTTGACTGATAGCCTGGGCCCACTGGCTCTGGACTGGCCTTGCAGTCTCAGCCTCTTCTTGGCCCTTGGCTGCCCCTTTTGTTGCCTGTGGGCTCAGACTGGTCCTTTCGGTCCCTGGCCTCCCCCGTCACCCTCTCTGTGCTCAGGCTCTGGCAATCTCAGCTTCAGGCCACCTTGATTGCCCTACTCTTAGGGTCAGTCTCTGGCCCCTCTGAGCCTCAGCCTGCTTTGGCCTTGCACCCCTGCCTGTGGCAGGCCTAGAAACCCAGCATCCCCCCTTGGCACCCATGTGGCTTCCTTTTCCACCCCTACAGCCTCACCCAGTCCTATGTTATCCAACTAGAACAAAAATTCAAACAGCCACTTCAAACTTGAAACACTTAGTGCCCCCATCTGGGTTATCATACCACTGCCAAGCCACCTCCCCATTAACTGGCCCTGGGAGTACCTGACATAGCTTGCAGCTCCCACTTTTCACCAGCCTGAGCTGGCACGAGCTCCTCTCCCTGCAGAGTTCAGGTCTGAACTTTCTGTTATGAAACTGAGCTGTTTTACCCAGAGTGGCACATAGCAAGAGTCTGTTCTCTGGTCTCTAGTTCAAATTTCTTAGGTTCTGGATGGGCAGACATGGAAAATTTGCAGTTTTCATGAGTACTTTTTCACTTGATATAAAGAATGCTGAGCTATAGGTAGGGACCACTGTAATTTGGGCTTTAGGAGATTTCAGGGGAAATCCTGAAATGTAGCATTTTCCCTAAAGCCCTTTAAAACTGCAGTTTGGCCACCAATGGCCTGAAACTGTGGGGGAGGGGGTGGCAGGGAAAAAAGTTTAAAAAAAAAAAAAAAAAGCATGGAGAAGAAAAGCAGAGCCCCAGAAACACTGGAAGCCCCATGTTTTTAGAGGCAGCCTAGCATAGGCTAAGCTCCTGCCACAACTAAGCCAATCATTTTAGGAGGGATGTGGACAACATGGAGAGGGTCCAGAGGAGGGCCACCCGCATGATCCAGGGACTACAGGGCAGACCCTACATGGAAAGGCTGCGGGACCTAAACCTGTTCAGCCTTCACAAGAGAAGGCTGAGGGGGGACCTGGTGACTGTCTATAAACTCACTAGGGGGGACCAGAAGGGTTTGGGGGAGACGCTGTTTCCCCCAGCGCCCCCTGGCATGACAAGGAACAATGGACACAAATTATCGGAGAGTAGGTTTAGATTAGACATCCGCAAGGACCACTTCACAGTTAGGGCAGCTAGGAGCTGGAACCAACTTCCTAGGGAAGTGGTGCTGGCTCCTACCCTGGGGATCTTTAAGAAGAGGCTTGATGACTACCTGGGTGGACTCATTTGAGTCCAGTCTTTTCTCCCACCCAGGCAGGGGATCGGACTTGAAGATCTACAAGGTCCCTTCCGACCCTACTTCTATGATTCAATCAGGTTGTTTGATTCCCTGCTTCAGTTGGGAGTTTAAAAGCCCTGCCCAGAGCAGAGCAGAGCGGATAAGTACCTCCTGCCCTAGAGGCTGGGCATAGGCATGCTGGGTGCCCGCCTCTGCCTGGCACGGCTTCCCTGAGCCGGCTTTGCTTTGCTGCCATGTGAGAGTGGAGGGGAATTTTCCCTTCCCCTTCTCTGCTGTGCTCTCCCTCAGCCATTCAGAAGCATGGGAGGGCCTGCCCTGAAAAATGCCTGAAATTGGCTCTGGTGAGCCTGCAGGGAGCCCACTTTTCCCTCTGCTGGAGCCTGAATTACAGTGGTCCCTAGCTATAGGCTATGGACAGCAGTTCATTTGCAGTGCTACAAAGTGTCTCAGCGACATGTGGGTGAATTGGCTTCAGAGCAGTAATAGTAGCTGTCAGCCTGTGGGGCAGTGCCTCGAGCTGGCACCCACACTGCATGAACTGGGGGTCCTATGGCCAAATACTGATTCTTACCCATGTTCTGGCTGCAGGATGGGGCTTGTCGCCATGTCTGACAGAGGTTGCATGAGCAGGAACCCTTGCTTAAGTTGCTGTGGCTGTGACAGAGCCTACCCTTCCCAGTCTCATCAATTAGCTGATCATTGGCTGAGCTACTGGGGAGCCAGCTATTCTTTGTCCCTCTCTCTCTCCCCCCTTGGACATGGGGGAGGGAAGAATGGAGGACTGTGGTATACTGGAGGTTCTAGGGCTGGTTACTGCTCTGTGTAACTTAGTGTAACTCTCTGTAACTTAGTGGCTTTTTACAGATGGCACTAGAAAACTTCACTCTCTAGAAAAATTGCTGTTGGAAAAAGCTAGCATTTCCTGGCGGAATTGCCATTTATTTTTCTGCCACAAACCACTCGGACTTGTATGCCTTCTTGCTGTGGTGCTGAAATGGCTCATTTCTTGCTAAAAATGAGATGCCTCTCTGTGGTCATTGTGGGATGTTTGACTTGAGTTCTGTTTGACCTTTTGGTCTTTGGTTCTTTGGGTCTGTAATGTGGTTTATTGCAATATCCTGTGGTTACAAATGAAGAGAAGAGCTATATTTGTAATGTCATTAAAAATACATTCATCATAAGCTTTATTTGCTTCTGATCAGGTTTGGTGACTTCGTAGATGTTACTGAAGGCCCACACATACCAAGGACAAGCTTTTGTTTGCAGTATCAAGTGACAGCAGCCCACAATCTTCAGGCCAGCCAATCTGGATTGATACGACGGTTCCAGGGTGTTTCCTTGCCAGTACATTTAAGGGTAACTAATGTATTCTTTTCCAGTGCTCTTCACTCAGGAGAGGGCTTTTAAGATGCCTTTAAAAATCTTAGTTTGAACAATGTATCTATTTTCCTGTAATTTTGTGGTGAACAGCAATTAGTGAATTGGAGATCTAGGAAGAATGGCTGCTCAAGGTGAGCCAAGGTTCTAGTTTCTTGGTACTATGTTAGAGACCAAGTTAAAACTGTTTCCAACACAATCTAGGATCCTAGACATTATTTTACAGTATTAAAGAAAAGGATTGTTTTCTTTAATACGGTGCACTTATTTTATATATACTTCTTGGAAGTTTATACATATAAATATTTTTCTTTTACATACTTCTTTTTGAAATGTGGCAAGTGATAATTGTTCTGATTTAAAGAAATACAAATTTATATGGCATTCCAAAGTGAGCAGAGGAATTGTTGTGAAGAATTACAAAAGTGATTTTTTTGTAGCCGGGTATTCTGCCTGCAGTTGTGACCTGCAGTAGAAACCTGTAATGATAGTAATGGAATATTCTGCCTACACGAGAAAATGCTGCTTAGCCTTCATCAGTTAGTTTTCTAACCTGTGTTCCTTCGTGTGTATGGCCATACGCTGAAGAAGTGTCAAGTACATTCTATTTTAAAAATGTTTTCTTCTTTTCTTCTTCTCCTCTTGTCCCTAAGCTTTCTAAATGCTTTAGTACTTTGGGGTTAGCCTTTATTCATATATAATCGTGTTTTCCTCCTACAGTTACCAGTAGAGTAGTATAGGAGACCTTGACCTCATTGACAGCCAGATTCTTTAAATAAATAATTTGAGATTTTTTTTTTTTTTTTTCAAGTAAGTCTAACAGCAGTGGATACCTTAAACCTTTCAGCCACAGTGAGTGGTGTGGATAACAGACAATGTGATTCTGGATTTGGCCCTGTTAAAATGTATAAACCAGTAATTCTCACTCAGGGTGTTGTAGCGTCTTGGGGTGTCGTGAGATCCTTTCATGAGTGCTGCAGGGTTCCACACAGTGGTATTAGGTGTGCAGTTGTGATTTTACAAGATAAATTCAGGGATTTCAAATAGGAATCCATAGTGTTAAAAACATTGTGATCTTTCTGAGCTCTTTGCATAAGGAGAATTGCTCAATTTTTTTTTCTGTAGGCAAAAAACAAGTGAAAAGCTGGCATTTTCCAAGTGAGTGCCTTGAGGCTAATGAGGGGTGCCTGAATCTAAAAAGGTTGAGAATCATTGATATCAGTTCTAATCAGAGATTAGTTACATCTCCATTGTAATTCCCTGCTTGTTCTCTTATGCTGATGGTAACAGAAAAATGTAAAGCCTAATCCTACCAAAGTTTAATTGCTTAACATTTGTGCTTGAACTCCCCATTGATTTCATTGGGGGTACTTGTATATGTAAGTATTTGCATGATTGCAGATTGTGTGCTTGTGAAAGAGAGAGAAAAATGGATAGAAACTGGTCTCTCCATAAATGAGGTAAAATGAACTTGTTTTACGTGGCGCATCAAACTAACTAGTCAAGTCACTAGAATGCTGGTTTTCAGTTTTGTCAAAAGGACTTCGCTATTAGTTCCTGTCTTTTTCTTTCTTCAGGCTCATCACACTATATGGAACAGGTTGCTAGAGAGGTCTCGGAGACTGGTAAGCTTAAGTAGTAGCTAAATACGTATTGTCAATAACATATTGATTTAATAAGATAGATGTTAAGTAATTAATTAAAGATGGAGAGTATTTTACAAGAGCCACTGGTTTAAGGAAAAAAATCCAGGACACATTAAAATCTATAGAGAAATTGAATCTAATTACTGTGTAATAAGAGAGAAAAAAATGTAGTATATCTAATTGCTTTGTAACAGGGAACAATTGGTAGTACTTGGGAGTCTTAGCATCATAAAAAAAAGATTGTAATGCAACAGGTAATGCAACTTGATTGGTATTTGTAATTTCTCTAGTATGCAATTCAGGAAAATATGTCAATAATATTTTAATCTGTGTGCTTTTTTAATAAGTCTTTAGTAAACAACCACTTAGTTGGCACTTCCAATTAATAAGGTGAGACAATAGTATTAGGGTGCTGTTACAGGTTACCTTTAAATCATCATAAAGGCACTTCAAAATGGGACCATTTACCAGTTAAAGAGTGCTTAACCTGTTCTGAGTACCCTCTAAATCAGTGGTTCTCAACCATTTTTTGTACCAGGATCCATTTGTAAGCATCATTGGCCGGTCCTGACACAGTGCCCCTTCTGCCATGCCCCAGCCCCCAAGTGTGTGGAGATGGGGAGGGGGAAGCAGTCCCTTGCAGGCTGGAACTCTGCCAGCCTGCAAGGGAAAAGCCACATCTCCTCACGTTTTTCTCTTTCGAAGGAGAGTCCATTTTTTACACTGTATTGATCCATTTTAAAGTTCACTTACGAGCCTTTCTTATATTCCTGCGATGCATGGTTTGAGAAATACTGCTCTGAATGTTTTAAAGTTATGCTGATTCAAGCAAGAGTTCTCTTTGATCCCTTTTACCCAAGTTTTTTCAGGATATTGTTAGTCTTCTCTGGGGAGATTAAAATGCTCCATTTTTCATTCCTCCAGCATCTCAGGATGCATCATTCTCAGTTCTTCCCAGTCCTTTGCTCCGTTGGCAAATTTTCAGCAACCCTGAACTCTGGTGACCAGGGCAGTTGTTCTGGCCTCAAGCCAACACTCCCTTCTGCCCACAGCGGGTATGATCCCAGCACACCTTGACCCCTCTGAGCACCCAGGTGTAGCTCACAAGTTTGCTGCTTCCTCTGGCACCCTGGTGCAAACAGCAACAGCAATGCCACTACCTACCTCTCTGAAGAGAATGAACCAGAGAATGGAAACTATGAGAGAGGCTGCAATTTGGACAGGTGCATGTATGTCAGGGTGGGTAAAATGCAGCCTGGGGGCTGGATGCGGCCCGCCAGGCCATTCTATCCGGCCCTCGGGGCCCTTACAAAATTTAGAAAATTAGTATTCATCTGCCCCTGGCTGCCTGTCATGCAGCCCTCAATGGCTTGCCAAAACTCAGTAAGCAGCCCTTTGCCCAAAATAATTGCCTACCCCTGATGTATGTGTTGAATGTGCAGGCTGTCAGCCCTGCCCCATTGTGACATGCATTGAGCCTGGTGGGTCTCAGCTCTGCCCTAGTCTGAGTACTAAACCAAGGCCCCACCCTTGACCCAATTCCAATTCTGTGAAACAAGCCATTTATTATTATTATTTTTATTTTTTTCACTCCTTCCTCTTTACTTCTCCCTCCTGCTCATTTACTTCAAACAGATTTCTCTTCCCCCCCTGCCCCCAAGACTTTTCCCTGCTGGCTGACAAATGAGGAAAGCTCCAGCCCCCATGGTTTCTTCACCTATGAGCTACATGTTACCCTCTCCCTCCTTTCCTACCCAGGATCAGGGGGTAGAATGTGGGCTCCTGTCCATGCCTCTGCTTGCCAGGCCCTCTAGCAACAAGTCACAGTTGGTGGGATCTTAAGCCATAACCTGTGACTGCTCTGAGACTCTTCTAACTTTGACAGCAATAACATCCTACAGACTTAAAATGTTTTAAAACTAACCTGTAACAGCTACCTTAACCTTTTTATATTTTTATTTTTCAGAGTGTTTAAATTTAAATTTGGCAGTTGGAATATAAAATGGACATTTAGTATGAACCTGAAGTAGTTGGAAGACCATTAAACATAGCTCCAAACAGCAAAATAAATAAATAAATAAATAAATCAAGTTATATGGTAAATAGGAGGGGGAAATGTTAGGAAATTCTCAGGATATAATATTAAAGGGCAACAGTGAAAGCATCTAAAAGAATTTTAAAGTGACTGAATAAATGCAAAAGGTGTGTTTTTTGGAATAAAGGAATTGCAAATGCACTGAAATGTACCGTGTGTGAATGGTTTCACTTTCTAGGAATAACTAAATGTGGAGAGAGATTTAATAGTGACGGTTTCAGACCTTCAGGGTGCATCTACACGTGCAAATGCTCCTGGGTGGGTTTACTCTACAGCAATTTACTAATTTATTCTAAATTAGGAACTTACTCTAGAGTAAACCCACCCTCTAGAGAGTAAATTAGGGGGCCTACACATGCGGGGAAGTGGCAGCAGATTTGTTGCCGATGGCAGCAGTCTGCTCCCGCTCCCTCTGGGTGCTAGCCCAGGGGCTGACAGAGGAAGGGGCCAGGAGACAGCTGTCTCCTGGTGGGGGCTGGGATATTGCTCCCTGGCCCTAGGAGATGCCTGCTGCTGGGGTGGGCTCCACCCCTGGAGCCTAGGTGGGGACAGTGTCCTCCTGTCCCAGCAGCAGGGAGCTCCCAGCCTTTGCTCCATGATTGCCAGGCCAGGGATGCGAGATTCTTTTCTCTCAGACCTAGCTTCATGGTTGCGGGGCCTGACTTGAGAGAGTGTTCTCTCCCACAGTGCCAGCTTTGTGGTCAAAGGATTCTCCCAGTCCTCACTCCATGATTACAATTGCAAAGTTGGGGTGAGAGCTCCCTGCTGCCAGGGCAGGGGGACATTGTCCCTGCCTGGGCTGTAGAGGTGGAATCTACCCTGGCAGCAGGCAGCTCCCACCCCCTGTTGCTCAGCTGACTAGGAGCACATTTGCTCCTGGTCAACTGTGTATGTGTGCTGCTGTGCGGTAGGTAACCAGGAATATATTTACTATTTGTATTTAAAGGTAGCAAATTTATTTATGATTAGAGCTAATTACTGCACAGTAATTATCTCTAATCTTGAGTAAAGTGTTTCATGTAGATGTGCCCTTAGATCCCTAAAAAGAATATTCTGCCTGCTTGTAGCAGCAGAGAGGAAAAACATAATGCATCTACTGGAGTTCACTCTTCATGAAACATGCTAAGAGCTGAACAGTGCAGCATGTTCTTATATGATTACAAACATTTTCAAATTGGTTTATTATTATTTAATTATAAAGACATAATCCTTGCTTTGATAAAATTACAAAAGGCAAAAATGTACTGTTTGGACAGAGTGGAACTATATTTTAAAAACAAATGTGTTTTGCAGGTCACTGAAGAGGGAAGTCTT